GTGGCTTTCAGTTGCTGCAGGTCTGAAGGTGGATGATGAGAAAGTGCTGCTTGGCTGGCACATTACCTCCTGTTAACACAGAACAGCTCTCTTGGCTCCATCACTTTCCAAAATAGGTGATATTTTCTTTATAAAGATACTCACCAGTGCTTTGCATGCATTGCCTGTCCCTGCAGTGGGCACATGTGGATTCTTCTGTGAGGCTGGGCTGGTGTGACTCTGTCCTCAGTGCTCCTGTTGTGGAGCCTTGAAAGGGGGAATCCACAGGAGAGTCCATGAAAATGGAGCCAGAGCCTTGGTTCCCTCATGGGGTATTTACTGGGGGTCTAGAGGCTGGGCCCACAACAAAGCAGGTGCTGTTGGTTGTTTTGGTGTCTGATTTTACTGCGCCATTCCACTGCTGGTGGGGATGGAGGAGTGGGACCAGGCAGGTCTCAAGGATGGCCATCAGTGTGGACATAAAACTATGGGGAACCTGTAGGAATCAGCTGGGGGTGGGAGGGGGAATACTGGAGGCAGAGGTGCTGGAGGAGGCTGTAAAGAGATAAAGGAGTTATTTCATCTGTGTGTGGGATCATTGTTTTCCTCTCAGTGCCCCCCTGCCTGCTCCTGCTGCCTGTGGTTTCGTTGAGGAGCTGCAGCACAAGCTGGTGATGGTGCAGCAGTGCTGGACACGTTGTCAGTGACTTTTCCTTATCATCCACCCCCATCAGCTTCTGCTTAGAGCCAAGACCCCACTGAGCATCTCCTCCCGCAGCAGTGCTGATGGAGGTTGCCTCTTTCTTCTGCAGGTGGTGGTGCAGCTCACCGATGACCTCCTGTCCCAGGCGGTGATGATGGTGGAGGACAGCCGGCCGACGCTGGCCATCAATCTGGCTGGGGCCCGGCAGCACTGGCTGGAGGGGATGCTGCGCCACGAGATCGGTCAGCAGTACAGTGGCTGTGGGTGCTGGGCAGAGCAGGGGCAATGCTGGGAGCATTCTCTGGCTGGTAACAGCCTGGGGGCTGTGGGGACTACGGACATGGCGATACCCCCTGGGTTCCTGCAGGAGGCAGGTTTTGGAAGGGTGTGAGGCCACTGGGTCCTTCTCTGCATGCGGGGCCACGGGGTGTGAAGCACCCACCCGTGTACCCATGTGCCTGCCTGGGCTGCAGAGCCAGCAGACGTCCCATGGCAGCATGTCCAGCCAGGACTGGAACCGGTACCCATGGATGTGACTTGGCAAAGGGTGTTGCCAGTTGAGATTTTTGGAGGCTATGGCCATTGGTGCTCACTCCCCCCCTCCTCCCCAGGCACCCACTACATCCGGGGGGTGAACAACACCCACCAGCCCTGGCACAGCTCTGAGGGCCGCAAGCAGTACAGCCTGAAGCCTGCCAACCCCACGGAGGAAGGCTTGGCCAGTTTACACAGCGTCCTCTTCCGCAAGCAGCCCTTCCTGTGGCGGGCAGCCCTGCTCTACTACACCATTGAGCGCGCCAGCCGCCTCTCCTTCTCCGCCCTCTTCCAGGACCTGGAGCAGTATGTCCAGGATGCTGGCATCCGGTGGGAATACTGTGTGCGGGCAAAGAGGGGCCAGACTGACACCTCACAACCAGGTACTGCTCGGGGGGGGGGGGTGATAGTGTGCAAAGCTTTTGGGGTTTGAAAGAGATTTTATATTCTTTTTAGAAGAAAAAACAGTGGTGGGTTTGTTTTGCACCTGGGTGGGTTGGGCATCACTGGTCCTGTGGCCATGGCACCGTTGGAAAGGTTGGCTCTGCCCAACCCACATCACTCCCCATTCCCATCAGGTGGTTCCAGTCTGATGGGAGCGACTCACACAAGGAGGCAGCAGCCAAAAGAGGGATAAACTGAGCATTTCTGGACACAGTTTAGATTCTTGCAGTGGATTACCATGAAAAAAATAGTAAAGGTAAAAAACTGGTGAAAATTGGAATGGTAAAAAATGGAAAAATATGGTAAGGAGGAAGATGTATGACAGCTTTTAGCATTTGAAGTTATGACGTGCTTAAGGTTATTAAGCTTTCTTGATGTTTTGTTTTGATGGGGGGGGGCTTTAATGGCTGCTTTCTAGGGAATACAGATTGGAAGTGACACAAACCTGACCGGGGGTAAAGTAATAGGGCAGGCAGGCTGCAAAGAAAAATGACAAATAATTGGGAGGAAAGGCCAAAACATCCCAGGGAGAGGTTTGGGGCTCTCACTGCTCTGGCTGTCTCCATGGTAACCGGTGCTGCTCCCCAGTGCTCAACCTTTGGGACCCAGCGGTCCTGGCCATGGACCAGCAACACCTGAGCTCTGGTGCACTCATATCACCCCAGCTCATTGCCATTGCTCTGGTTACAGTGGTCGTCAGGCGTTGGGGTGAGTGGAGAGTGGGGGGGACCCAGGCTCCTGCTCCCTGGCCTCTCCCACTTTTCCAGGCTGTTTCAGTAAGGACCAGGTCTACCTGGACGGGATTCTCCGCATCCTGCGCCATCGGCAGACCATTGACTTCCCACTGCTGGCTGCACTTGGAAAGGTAACAGCCAGGGGGAAAGTGGGAAACATTAATCAGAGCCCTGTCCCAGCCTATGGAGCCAGGCTGAGAGAGCTGGGCTGGGGCAGCCTGGAGGAGAGAAGGCTCCTGAAGGGGAGACCTGAGAGCAGCTCCAGTGCCTAAAGGGGCTACAGGAAACCTGGAGAGGGGCTTGGGACAAGGGCCTGTAGGGACAGGACAAGGGGGAATGGCTTGAACCTGACAGAGGGGACACTGAAATGAGATCTTGGGAAGAAGCTCTTCCCTGTGAGGGTGCTGAGGCCCTGGCACAGGGTGCCCATCCCTGGTGGGCTGTGGGGCTGGGACAGACACCCTCCTTGGCATGGTTTGGGATGAGCTGGGGGGCTGACCCCACCTCCCTGCTTCCCATCAGGTCTCCTATGAAGATGTGAATCGGCTGAAGAAATTTGGGGTGCTGGAGAAGGCCCGCATCCCTCATTTCATGCAGGACCTGGAGCGGTACATGAAGCAGCTGGACCACATCGTCACCACCAACTGCCTAAATGAGGAGGAGCTGCAGCAGCTGCTGCCTGAGGAGCAGCAAGCCCCCAAAGCCAGCACCCCAAGGGCGTAACTGCTGGGATTTATGTGATCTGTATTAGGACTAGAGCCTGAGGAGCGGGCAGAGCCTGGGCCTCCCCCTGCGCCCGGATGGCCACTGTGCATGTTCTGCTGTGTAGGGTAGCTCTGGTGTGGTTGATGTTGATGTGTCGTGTCCCCCACACTGTCCCCTCTGCACTTGCGGGAAAGGCTGTGTGGTTCCACATGGCTCTGGGGATCTGGGGAAGAGGGTTCAGATGGGGCAAGGGCAAAGCTGCAGCACATGCTGGCACCTGAGATAAGGTTATGTGGGGCAGTTGTGGTGGGGGATGTCCTTAAGGTACATAGGGTGCTCCCAGTAGAGTGGGGGGCACCTACTAAGGGTTTGGGTCAGGGAATAAGGGCTGGCCCATACCAACTGATCACCCTGTGCATGTGTTTCCCCTCCCTATTCCTTCCCTCATGCAGCAGGAAGGGTTTTAACCTCTCCAAATCCCTGCTCTCCACCGCAGGTATCTGCCCACCATTAACCATCGTCCTGCAGCCACTGCCTGGCTCTGAGGACTCGGGGTGGGCATTGGACTTGTTGTTAGGAAAAAGCATGTAATAAAACTTATGTCATGGAAACACCGTGTGGACAATAGGTCACGGCAAAGCTGCATGGCCCCAAACTGCTGCGTCAGGAGCTGGATGGGTTCACCAGAGTGCGTAAAACAAATGGGCAGGGACATGAATAAACCACAGCAGTCAAAAGCAGAAGCTGCTCGTGCGCTGCTCCTGATCTCTAACATATGATCTCTGCTGCAGTTGTGCCACCCATAAGAGGGCCCTTTCTTAGAAAACACCCCCCCCCCCCCGAGATTTGGTTTTAGCTTCTTGTGACCTTTCATCCCACTGAGCTCCTGCAAAGGGAGCCCAGGCTACTTTGGGGCTCCAGGAAGCCCAGGCTTAATCACAAAAGCTCCAGGTTTGGCTACAAGCCCAGCTCACAGCACCTCCAGCTGCCTCACACTTCAGGTCTGGCAGGGGAGCTGCAGCCCCTCTGCAAGGTGCAGATGCTGTGGTAACACACAGCAAGCTTGGGAAGGGATAAGACCATAGAACCATAGGTTAGGGTTGGAAAGGACCTTAAGATCATCAAGTTCCAACCCCTCTGCCATGGGCAGGGACACCTCGCTCTAAACCATCTCACCCAAGGCCTCATCCAACCTGGCCTTGAACACTGCCAGGGATGGAGCATTCACAACCTCCCTGGGCAACCCATTCCAGTGCCTCACCACCCTAACAGGAAAGAATTTCCTCCTTATATCCAATCTAAACTTCCCCTGTTTAAGTTTTAACCCATTACCCCTTGTCCTGTCGCTACAGTCCCTAATGAAGAGTCCCTCCCCAGCATCCCTATAGGCCCCCTTCAGATACTGGAAGGCTGCTATGAGGTCTCCACGCAGCCTTCTCTTCTCCAGGCTGAACAGCCCCAACTTTCTCAGCCTGTCTTCATACGGAGGTGCTCCAGTCCCCTGAGCATCCTCGTGGCCTCCTCTGGACTTGTTCCAACAGATCCATGTCCTTTTTATGTTGAGGACACCAGAACTGTACACAATACTCCAGGTGAGGTCTCACAAGAGCAAAGTAGAGTGGCAGGATCACCTTCCTCACCCTGCTGGTCACACTCATTTTGATGCAGCCCAGGATGCGGTTGCTTTCTGGGCTGCAAGCGCACACTGAATCCAGCTCATGTTCATTTTCTCATCGACCAGCACACCCAAGTCCTTCTCTGCAGGGCTGCTCTGAATCTCTTCTCTAAGATCACTGCAAGATCACTTGTACTGGAGGGGATTTTGCTTCCCTCTGGTCAGGTCTCCTGTATCACACTGGTGTTTTTAAAAGCTCCCCCTGTTTGAACACACTGCCAGCACGGTCAGTTAGACTCTGCTCTTTAATGTGCTATTTCTTTCAACGTTGCCATCCCCAACCTCAAACGCGACGCAGCGCTGCTTTAAGAAGGTCCTGCCACGCACCCCAGCACCGCCCCCCTCGTCATCCCGAGGAGTAAGGCCTCAACTGGCAATAACCACCCAAGGGAAGACTCGTGGTGCTAAGAACCAATCAAGGGAAGACTCTTGTGGTACTAAGAACCAACCAAGGGAAGACTGTTGCGGTGCTAAGGACCAAGGGAAGACTCTTGCGGCCCTTCTAGCGGAAATGGCAGCAATGACAGAGGGCAGTGTAGCTACTGCGGTGGTTTGGGTTGCATCCCTGATGAAATAACAGCATGGAGATGAGAGAAAGGGTTAATCCTTCTCCCCAGCAGGGCTAGAAGCGTTTCATCTGGCGGCGTTCTTGGCGGCGTTGCTTCTTCTCATTTGGTTCCTGACCGGCAGGTGAAGACTCAGCTGTAAACCAGGGCCCCAGGATGTTCACCCACAGCAGGTAGAGAGCGCGCCCTGGAGCCTGCAACACACACATGGCACAAACTCGGTCACACTGGGGCTGCTCCCACTGAGGAAGACAAAGGAACTGGAGTATCTGTCCAGGCTGGATCACAGGATGCACAGAAATCAAAGGCAGGCATCCAATATACATGGCCTGATTTCATACGGTTTAAGAACTTGCATACGTATCCAGCACTTAAGCTTCATATATGGAAAGCCCAGCATCAGGTCTGAATTAGCTCCATCTGCTCAAACATTCTGCCTCTCCCTCCTTCAGAAAACATGCACATTCTCTGAATTAAGCAAATGTTACCCAGATGGTCTCCAGGGGACAGTCAGGGTCTAGACTGCCCTCTGCCAGACCAGTTAGAACGAAATGTGAGTACAGACTGGAAAGAGATAGGCTTTCTAAGATTCACTGGCACAAGGTGCCCAGAGAAGCTGTGGCTGCTCCATCCCTGGCAGTGTTCAAGGCCAGGCTGGACACAGGGGCTTGGAGCAACCTGGTCTAGTGGAAGGTGTCCCTGCCCGTGGCAGGGGGTTGGAACTGGATGAGCTTTGAGGTCCCTTCCAACCCAACCCATCCTATGATTCTATGATAAGATTGCCTTACATACCATTGTGGCATATAGTCAAAGCAAATCTGGGATTTTTTAACTAACTGGAGATTTTCTGATCTTCTGCAAAAGCAGTTTTAGCCACAGGCACATGACAAATGTGTCACGAATAGAAAGAGTGTGGTGTGTTAAGGGGAAATCAAAGCCTACAGCGTTTTATCTACCAAGCAACCCAGGGTCCAGCAGTTCCCAGCCTCAGACTGTGCTGGTGAGTGACTGAGAAAACCAAAGAAAAAGAAACACAGTCTGTTTGTTACAGTCACAAAAAGGCTCTACACACAAAGATGGCTTTGATCCGCCTGTTTCTTGTTGCCCTTTCACAGGACCAGGGAGGAAGGCCAGGGCCAGCAATATCCAGAAGGATCAGGACTTCTTTCTCTTGTACGGCCTCACTTTTAACAAGATTTGACAGGGAGATCAAAATGTTTATCAGAAAACAGTTTTGGCCTGAAACAGGACACTGAAATGAAATGAATAAATAATGTCCCCAGTCTGGAAGGCATGAACAGTGTAGAGCAACAAGGACCACCACAGGGGCTTACCAAGAGCCAGAAGTACCAGAGGTAGAGAGAGAAGCAGCTCAGCACTTGGACTATGGCTGTCAGCAGGATCACATCCTTGAGGTGCCTAAGGGAAGAAAAGCAAAACAGGAACCTTCCATCCCAGGCCCTGCTGCACACACCAGCTCCTCTGGCACCAGAGCCTGTCTGTGCTGCCTTCGGGCAGCAGCTCTGCCTGCCCGCTGTGGCTCTGCTTGGCCACACAAGGGTAATCTAGAAGAATCAGAGCAGTAAACAACAAAAATAAATGGATCTGACGAGCTAAAGAGCCAGGCTCCTTATGAAAAGGGACATTGAGAAAGCTGAGGAATGCAGGGGGGTGGAAATCAGCAACAAAACCACTTCCCCTACAGTATGCAGCAGCAGCCAGTGCCTGCTGATTTGATAAACATCATGGCATGAAGCTGAGCTGCTCACGGCTGGCTGCACTGAAGGGAAATATGCATCTTCCCTATGCCATTTCACACTCAGAGTCACCAAAGGGCTAGGTGCTGCATGGACAAGCACACCATCCGTGGTGAGGAGCACTCCCCTCCTGCTTATCCAACCCTGGGATCTTCCACACCAGCCTGAGGCAGAGCCAAGAGCAGCTACGGAGGGGAACAAGCTGCCCACAGTTAAACTACTGCTCTCAGGACACCTGACACCCAGCAGAGGGGAGCAGGTATTAGTTTTTTCAACAGGAGTCATGGGATGTGTCATGGAGGGTTAGAAAACATGAACTCTTTCACTCCCATTAAATCATTATCTGATGGAGCAAGAAACACTTGACCAAATCCAAGAATGGGGTCAAGAAGACAAAGCCAAAATAATCAAATAGTTTGTCTCATTCTGGGCAGCACAGCAAAGTGACCACAGAGAGCTGGTTCAGGCTGGTTCAGGGACACCAGCATCAGCCAAGACACTGCAGAATACACCATCAACAGCTCCATAACCAGACACTGAGGTGCGGAAATCTTGTGCATCACCAGAGGACACAGGGGTGATGGCAGGCACCCCACAGAACCAGCTCTCCCAGGGACCAGCAAGGACGCCTTTCTCAATCCCAGAGCAACACAAAAATCTGCTTCAGTTACAGACAGCAGGAGGCAAACACCATCAAATCCACAGCATTCAGGAAGCAGCTCCGAAAGAGGACGAGTTCATCTGCTGCAGCACACTCAGCTGAGAGGCAGGAAACATCCCCTGCGTTCTGGAAGTAGCCACTAGCCTGGAGTAGTTCCACCATCCCCAAAGTGGCAATTTAGAGCTGACAAAACGGATACAGCCAACAGGAGGAGCACTGAGTGTTTGTTAACACTTTGTGTTGATGTACCAGCAGGGTTAAACTCTCAGGCCTAAGGGTTCTGCACAGGTACAAAGGCACAGGGTAAGGATGGGAACTTCGGCTGTACAGCTTTTGTTTTGAGAGCTCAGCCTCCCCTGTGCTTTGCACAGCCTGTGCCTTGGACAAACATCAATTCATTTTAATGTGTTATAAAACTCACCCCAACAGTGTGTTCCTCAGGCAGAAAAACCTCAGCACCACAGTACTTGTCACCTTTTTACAGCAGGTAACAGGATCCATTGCCAGCTCCTGTCAGTCATTTCCCTTGGCACCACCATCACACATCTGCATGGGGCAAGTATCAGGGCACCCACCCTGCCTCGGTGCCTTACACATCTCCCAAAGGCATCTCCCTCAACCAGGATACCCCGGATGACACCAAACTTGCTGTATTTTCCTTATTCCACTGTCCCATGGTGCCATTCACAAAAAAGGTACCCAAAACACAGAATCCCAGAGTGATTTGGGTTGGAAGGGACCTTAAAACTCATCCAGTTTTAACCCCCTGCCATGCGCAGTGACGCCTTCCACCAGACCAGGTTGAGCCAGAACAGCATAAAATAGGAGAAAAGTGCTCAGCTGAACATCAGGAAAGAGAAATCACTATAGGATGAAGAAGGCATAAAGCACTCAGCTTACAAGTCACACCAGAAATAACTCCCTGGCCACCTCATTCCTTGGCTCTTACACCAGGCATCCAAGTCTTTCTGGCTGCAGGTCGCACATCTACTATTCCACTCACAAAACCAGAGATAAGAGCTCATTCTGTGCAGACAGCAAGTTCTGTGCTGCACAAGCAGGTCTGCCTGCTGGTAACACCTGCTAGCTGCAGGAACAAAGCTCATGTTAAAAAACCCGAAGTGTATTAATAGATGGCCCTTCCAGCATGACAGCACTTGATGTGATGCAGCAGGCTCAGCTGGGAGCACCCTTGAAAAAGCCTGCCAACAAGAAGACAGAGGTAAACCTGAAATCATAAGGCAGAGATGTGGGAGGGAAGGGGACAAGGACTCCAGGTACCTCGCTCAGCACACACTTAAGAACCCCAGCACAAGGTGGGCCAGCAGATGGAGGCTGAGGGCAAGGAGACAGAGTGCAAAGCCATGTGTCCACAACTGCCTGGCAGGTTCCTGTAACTAGTCTGAGAGCTACTGTTAGAAAACACATAAATCTATAAGCTGTTTCTCTGCTTCAGTACTGTTGTCTCCTTACTTTATGTAACAGAGCTCTTCAGGAACTGCCATTGTGTGTTGTTTGACCAAGCGTTAGAGCACTGCGAAGAACACTGGACATGCAAACACTTGATGCTGTCTGCAGACAGACATGAGGCATTCACAAGCACAGGGAGAAGAAAAGGCTGACAAGACAAGAGAAGCTGGTAAAGGCCATGTTGGACGGGGGCTTGGAACCTGCTCTAGCGGAAGGTGTTCCTGCCTGTGACAGGGGGTTGAAACTGGGTGAGCTTTAAAGTCCCTTCCAACCCAAAACACTCTGGTTCTGTGATTCTAAGTCAGAGAGGAGGTCTGCTAGTGTGCAGATGCAGCCAGGATGGGGTAACTAGCAGCCTTTCTGCTCTGTTGAGCACTACCTGCAGTGCTGATTTAAAAAGGAATGTACATATCTGTGTGTTGCAGAAGCATGGACAGTATCAGCATTGTTTCTGCACTGAAAGATGTCTGTGAGCTGTTCCAGCTGAACCATTTGGGATCTCTTACCTGTGTGCCTCAGCCCCTCAGACAGTGACTGTTCTAGGCTGACATACCCACACAGCAGCTGGTGACTAGTGCACGCCAGGCAAAGCTTTCAGATAATGGGGGAGAAGTTCTTTACTGTGAGGGTGGTGAGGCACTGGAACTGGCTGCCCAGAGAAGTGGTAAATGCTCCATCCCTGACAGTGTTCAAGGCTGGGTTGGAGTAACCTGCTCTAGTGGAAGGTGTCCCTTCCTGTGGCAGGGGGCTGGAACTGGGTGATCTTTAGGGCCTTTCCAATGCAAACCAGTCTGTGATTCTACGATTCTCAGATGAAACAACTCCAGCTCCCCTCACACCTGTGGGCAAGCTGAGGTAGGAGCAGAGGCCTGGGCTCTCCCGGCTCTGTGAACACGCTCAGGCAGCAGGTCCTGCTCACCTGGGCTCGTGTGGACACTCACTCTGCCATCCCCTGCTCCATATTCAGGTCAATTCCCCCGTCGGCAAGGCTGCCATCATCTGTGAACGACGGCTTTGCCATGGAGCTCATGGACCGGTAGCTTGTGCCGTACACCACGCAGCTGAAGATGAAGGCTACCTGCAGCAAGGGAACAGCCGTCAGCCGCCAGAGCCGCGGCCCTCCCGCGGCACGGCCGGGAAAGGCCGCGGAGCCGCCACAGCTCACCCATGTCCACGCGGAGGCGGAGGGGTAGAAGATGACCAAGTTCACCACGGCGTAGAGGGCCTGCGGAGAGAGTACAGCCCGCGTCAGCACAGCACGGCCCAGCACGGCCCGGCCCTTCCCGCCCGCCCAGGCACTCACGGAGGCCGCCAGGATGATGCGGAGGTAGAAGCGCAGCGTCTCCCGGTTCTCCTCGAAGATCTGCTTCTTGCCTTTGGTGCCCGCCTTCCCCTTGGGCTGCGGAACCGAGACAGGCCAAGGTCAGCGGCCTCCCCGGGCCCCCGCATCCCCGCGCCCCGGCCCCGCCACTCACCGCCATTGCCGCGCCGGCTCCGCGCTCCGCTTCCGGCCCCGCCGGAAGGGACCCGGAAATGGCGGCCGGCGCCTCCCTCCCGGCGCTTCTCCCGCTGCCCACCCCGGGGCGGGGGTTCTCCGCTTGCCAGCCCACATGCACACCGGGGCTCTGCAGACACGGGGCTTGATGCCCCCCTTCCCTCCCCGCTCCGGGCCCGTCACCGGCTCTCGGGACCCGCGTCAGGGCCCTGCTCCCTGAGGAGCTCCGCTCACTCCGAGTGGTGGTGGGGTGCATGGAGGGGCGGCAGAGCCTACGGGGCAGCGGCCTCCCACAGACTGCCCTCACCAGCCTCGGCTCCCCGGTAGCAGCCTCTGTATGTCAGGGACGCTGCTCTCCAAGCTTCAGACCTAGCACTGGCCTGTTTGCAGGAGCTGAGGCTGTCCAAGTTGCTCCCTGCAGCTGGCCTGAGCCTGCCTTGGATGGAACCGGCCTTACCTGTAGCCCCACTGCCACCTTCCTGGTAACAGTCCTTCCTTGGCAGGCCTGGGGGAAAGGTTGGACTTGCCCTTAAAGGCCTGTTCCAACCTGGCTGATTCTATGATTCCTCAGGTGAGGAATGGTGATGGACTCCATGCCTGCACCTCAGCACCAGGACCTGCCAGCTGTCCAGCCTTCATGCCCAGTGCTGCAGCTCCCACACCACCATCCTGCTCTTGCCTGCTTTGACCCTTTTCATAGGAACCCAGACTGGTTTGGGCTGGAAGGGACCTTAAAACCATTCAGTTCCAACCCCTGCCACAGGCAGGGACCCCTTCCACTAGAGCAGGTTGCTCCAAACCCCGTTAGCCTGGCCTTCAACACTGTCACAGCTTCTTTGGGCACCCTGTGCCAGGGCCTCAGCACCCTCACAGGGAAGAGCTTCTTCCTTATAACCAACCTAAATCTCAGCTGTTTCAGCTTAAACCCATCATCCCTTGTCCTATCTCTACAGTCCCTGATGAAGAGTCCCTCCCCAACATCCCTATAGCCCCCCTTCAGATACTGGAAGGCTGCTCTGAGGTCTCCACGCAGCCTTCTCTTCTCCAGGTTGAACAGCCCCAACTTTCTCAGCCTGCCCTCATACGGGAGCTGCTCCAGCCCCTGATCATGGTTGTGGCCCTCCTCTGCACTTGCTCCAGCAGCTCCATGTCCTTTTCACGCTGGGGACACCAGAATTGCACACAGTGCTCCAAGTGGGGTCTCACAAGAGTAGAGCTGAGGTGCAAGATCACCAGGATCACTTTTGCGCAAGCCCTACCCAAAACCTTTGGCAAGAACACAGCTGTGAGTTCTCCACACGTGTTTATTGTCCCAGTACATGGGGAGCAGAGGCACAGCCAAGCCCTGGTGCCCTGCAGCAGCCACTGTGACTGCAGCACCCCTGCAGAAGCTGTAGGCACGAGAAGGTGTGGGGCACCGTAGTGGGAGGTAGCTTGTCATGGTGCAGTAGTGCAGCACCATGGCTGAAGTGTGCACGTATCTGCCCGGGGCAGGGGAAGGCACCAGGACTGGCACACCACCACAGCACTAAGCAGCAAGTACAGACCAGAGTCTCCTTGCACCAGGCGTGGTGGCAGTGGACCCCCAGCTGATGAGGTGCTGGGGAGAGGGAGATTGTACCCTAAAGACCCCCCTTCCAGAACAGGGAGCACACAGGGCTCAGTGAAAAACCATTTCAGTACAGGAGGGTCCTGGCTGGGCAGGCACATGGTGCTCTGGAGACGACATCTGCTCACCAAACCAAGGGGAAAGTGGCTTTTATCCTTTTTCTAACTGTGTTTTTGTCAAGAGAGGATCCCCTGCACTCATGTGGAGAGTTAGGCTGCATAGATTCGTACCTTTGTGGTGCTGACCCCCCTCCAGCTGTCCCAGAGCTGCCATAACCTTTACTCCAGCCCTATCTTTGCCCTCTCTGCTCAATGCCTGGCAGTGGTGGGGGTCAGCACCACCCCAGAGGTGTTTGGCTGCCTGCAATATAGTCTTGCCTGTGGCATGGGAGCAAAGCAGACAGGTCACCCCCACCTTAAACAAGAGCCTGATGCTTGGTGGCTCATCCCTGTGCTCCCACAGGAGGGCAAGACACAGGTAGGAAAGGACGGGCTGTTCACCCCGGAATGGGCAAGATGCAGGCAGCACGTAGCCCCTAGCCAGCACCTGGGCATGTCCCTTTGGACTGGAGATGAGGGACAGAGAATAGCAGAACGGGGTTGATTTTGGGGGGCATAAGGGAGAACTAGGCACAAGGAGGAACTCACTGCTCTGCGTGGCTGAAGTCATAGCAGAAATTTAAGTTGCTGGGGGGCTTGGGGATGGGAGGAGGGGTGTCAGGGATGCTGATGTTTTCCAGGTCCAGGACCCGCAGCTTGAGCTCCATGGATAGCAGGACATCAAGGTCTGTCTGCGTCCGTTCACTCGTCATGTCCTTGCCGAGGAGCACGTTCAGCCCATCTGTCCAGAGGCAGAACTGGGGAAACAGCACAGGCACCTCTGGTAGCAGCTCAAGAGGCCACCTCCTCTCATGTGGCTCCCATCTCAGGCCCACACATGTGCAGATCCCTTCCTTCCCTGCTGTCTCCTGGCAGGGACAACTGGCCACAGCAGGCCCATGGAGCTTACCTCATACCGGGTTGGGGCAACAAAGTTGAGGCAGTATTCCTCCATGTCATACACAATGGAGAAGGCCAGCTCCAGGACATCCTGCAGAGGGGTTACGTGGCTTCTCAGCTGCGCTCTTTCCAGTCCTGGCAGGGGTTCAGGACAGGAGCGGCCTCCCAGCCACCTCCTCTGTGCCCCAGGAGACCCAAGAGGTCTCCAGTCTCAAGCCACTTCATCCAGGAAACCACCCAACCTGACACCCTCCACCCACCACCAAAACCCACCACCAGATGTGGAGGGCAGCCCACCGAGTCCCCTGTGCAGAGCCAGGGTGTAGTGGGAGGTGCTGACCTTGTTCTGTTTCCCAGAGCCTTTCTCCTTTGTGTGCGGACACTCCTTCCCCACAAGCAGCATCTTCATGTCTGCAACAGGAACTGGGGCAAGCAGAGGAGCTGTCAGTGCCTGCTCTCCTCTCCTTTTCCCCAGGTCCCCAGAGCCCAGCAGAGCCCAGGTATGGGGGCTCATAGCCACCCACAGCTCGGGGAAGGGAAGGAGGCTCCACAAAGCCCCACTGGAGAGCCAGCACACACCAGTGGGCACTGGGCAAGGAGGCAGCAGCCACGCAGAGGGGCAATCCCTACATTAAGGCATCCCCAGCATGTCACAACTGGGGATGGCAGAGGGCGCCCTCCCTCCTTCCCACCCTCTCCTCTCCGTCACCTACTTTTCTCCATCAGGCTCTCAATAGGGGGAGAGTGCACCCCCTCCTCCACGTCCCCATAGTGCAGCACCTTGTGGTTGGGTGACAGCCGGCAGTACCAGAGCTTGTCTGCAGCAGAAAGGATGTTAGAAAATGCTCGGCCTCTCCCACTGAGGGCCCCTGCCCAGGTGGATACCCCACTTGGTCCTACTCTGTGGGTTACCCCACATCAGCAATCCAGGGAGACAGGCACGCTACTCCCCACTGATTAATTGTGCAGATTGATCCCCAGTGGCAGCGGACATGGGGACAAGCCTCTGTTCCCTCCTGGGACCCCCATCCAGGAGCAGGGGGCTGCACTCACCCTGCCTGCGGCGGCTGCTGATCTTGCGGAAGAGGGTGCCCTCGCAGAGGTGCAGCAGGCGCTGCTGTCGGACCAGCTCCAGCAGCTCGGGCTTCAGTCTCTCACGCAGCTCTCTGTGGTGAGAACCAGAGAACAGGAGCATGGCAGCTTCACCAGGCTCTCACTGGCCTCCTCAGCAACCCCACAGCATCCGTCCCTGCAGCCCCCAGCCCTGCCTACAGCTCACTCACAGCACAGGCACAGCCAGCGTCTCCTCCTGGTGCAGTCGCTCTGTCTGCCGCAGCTTCAGGATCTCGCTGTAGTTCAGTGCGTTCACTCGGGTCTTGAACAGCTCCAGGGAGGTGGGCTTGAGGGACAGGGTCCTGGTGATCTGCTCCCGCACTACCTGCAGCACCTGCAGGGCACAGGATGTCACCCCCAGTCTGGTGATGCTCCCCAGAGACCCTGAATTGCTGCACAGTTCCCACTCAGGACCCCAGTGCTCCCTCACACCTTGTCAAAGTCCTCCTGGGTAGCACGCATCTCCTTCCAGGTCTTGTTCACCAGTTGGATGCAGATGCAGAAGAGCTCTTCAAAGAAATGATCCTGCCCGAAGAACATAGGGTAAAAGGCCTGAGCAGTCTCTGAGCCTGTGGTGAAAAGGACACATGATGCCAGACTTCCCAGTTTTTCCAGGGGACTTCAGTGTCCAGAAGAACCTGGACATTTCCCAGAACCTTTCCCTGCTGTAGGCGACACCAGTGCCTGGTGGCCCTGTGCTCACAGTCCCCTGCCTTGGCAGCTTGTCCCCACTCCTGCCAGGCAGCAGGACAGGGAAGAAAGGCCAGGGTGCACACATACACGTCTCTCCGATGTGCAGGATCTCACAGAGGATCAAGGTGAGCTGGATGCTGCTTCGAGCAAAGGGGCACTCATGCTTGTCTTCCCGGCTGCTGTTCTCAAGGACAAACTGAGGAGAAGGCAGTGGACTCAGAGGGCAGCCCCAACAGTGGGGCTCCTCCTGAACTTCCTAGTCAAGCTCTCCCCCCACGTTAAGCCATTCCAAAGAGAAGTAGTTAGCTATCCCCAAAACCAGCCCCAGCCTCCTCCTTCCCCTGCTGCTGTGTAGGAGCTGATCACAGGCAAAATGGGTGGCAGCATGGCTAATGGCTAGTTTCATCCAAATTGTCCTAGTCTGTTCAGATAGGAAGAAGGCTTGGAAACCAAAAAAACTTATGGGGAGCCGTCAGTGCTTCCAGCCTCAAATAGCTGCTCCTACCCACAAGGAGGACTCAGCTCCATCTGAAACAGGGCAGCAGTAGAACACTTGCCCAAAAGGGACATCCTTGCCTGGCTTTGGCCAGGTACGGGTCAGAGGGAAAGGAAAAGGAGATGCACCAGCAC